TTTGTAGAAAGCCTTGCCTATTTAGACATAACCTTTCTCCCATTTATGGTCCTCTTCCTTTCTGGCAGACTGCTACAGACCTCATTCCAAATTGGTGACAGTGTACTTTTTATCCTTTCCCTTTTGGTGCAGCACATTCAAATGATAAAAAACCTTATCATGTGAATATGCTCACTGAGTACATGAAACCCAGGCATCATGCATATTAGTTTTCCTCACAGATTGATTGGTGCTGTGATTTGGGTCACAGGTTTCATGGTTTCCTGTGAGGTACATTTCCTAGTGCAGCATCCGTATACTGTCCAAGGTGTATTTCACAGCTTTTTGTAATTCCATTTTATCTCAGCATTTTATCGGGCATAATGCATAGCATTTTTACCAGCAAACTCTTGCTAGGAACATTTTACAACATAAACTTGCATATGTATGAAAATATATAGAGATGGCAGGGCACGGTGAGGCAGGAGGTAGAGAATATTTTTAACCTCTAACATTCTCATCACTCCGTGCAAAACTCTTATTTATTTTACAGTGGAATTTGTACACGTCTTCTGAAGATGGAAAAAAAAAAAAAAAAAAGAAAAAAAAGAAAGGAATTTAAGGCAGAGAAAGTGACATATTTTGGCTCTAATATTACAAGGCAGAGACACCTTGCTGTTTGTGCCAGTATAGATAACTGTGTGCTTTTATCACCTTAGAAGGAATCCTTCTGAGTAATAAAAATCCGCAGTACCTTCCTGATCTGTTCTTCTTAAACAAGCAAGTTCACTGCTTCCTGGCTGCACAAGTGAATGACATTTTACGATGTAAGAAATGTGGGAGAAATACACATAGGATTAGTTGCTTGTCCTCCAATAATCTCTTAAATTCTTTTAGCCTTTCCTACCATTCACCACCCTGTCACTGTGACATGTTAAACAGCCTGAGTTATTTGTTTGTTCACAGCTTCCGTGTGCAGTGTGTTTTGTTGAAAGGCTGCGCTGGACAGCAAGGTCAAAAGCTGCTGCTTTGTTTTGTCCTGGATTTTGCATCCTCTGAAGGGAGAGGGAGATGGTGCTATCTGCGAGAGCGAGCTTAAAGGCTTTGCTGGAAAACCTTTGGCAAGTGCAGGGTGGAGCAGGCAGAGAGCCTGCAGCTGGCGTGCGAGCCGGCGAGAAATCAGAGAGCACAGACACAGAGGTGATGGAAACTTTCTGAGACAGTCAGAGGGAGTCTGCTGCAATCCACGGTGAAAACTGCTGGATGGAGAACAAGGTCAGAAGGAAGGACAGACACTGTGGGTAGGGGAGAGATTTGTTTTCAAATGGTTTAAGCTGTTTCCCCCACAAAATCTTTTTATCTTTTTGTAATAGTTACCTTGTCCTACCCCGTGACCTAATGAATGATTATTTTTAACACTCAAAGCCCTATTTTGAGGTTTGACATAAGGTATAACATTGGTACCTATCTCATGGTTCTGGCTGACTCAGTGTCACATCATGCTGACCAGCAATTTGCACAGTGAACAGCCTCTCAGCTACAGGACAAGAGGAAAAACTTACTGCACTGCCAGTCTACACCCAGAAGAGCCGAGGTGGAAAAAGACTTAGTGTCAGTATGGTTTCCCAAAACAGGGAAGGGGATATGAAGGTAACATTTCTGAACTGGATGTAGGGGAGAGTATTTCTTCTCTAGTGCTAAGTCAGCTGCTTCTAGAAGCTTATTAACCTCTGTGTGTGACCATTGAGGAATGAATTCCTATCAGTTTACAAGGCATAGAAAATGTTATAAGGCAGAAGATGGAAAAAGACATGATAGGACAAACTGAGAGCAGTCTGAAGGGCACATCTTTTTATTAAGCCTGCTGAACATTGCTTTCTGTAACAGCAGGCTGCAGAACTTTCCAGGTTTTGTAAATAACTCAGTGTTTCCCCCATTACAGTAAATACACAGCATAGGTTTAAGACCGAGCCTTAGACTTTAAGAACCTTATCATCCATTCCCTGGTTCCCACAGGTGCGTGCTCTCAAGCACAAACACCTGTACTAATTATATACTAATAGCCTGACATTGATGTAAATTTTATCCAACCCTTCCTAATAGCCATTGGCAAGTTAGAAATGTGAATAAAAATGTAAATACCATTGTAAACGCAAAAAGAAGTCAGTCACAAAAATGAGGCTGACAGGAAAGAGAAATACTGCCTTTCAGTAACTTTGCCCCTCCCAAAGTTAAGTGTAACCAGTTAGATAGTGACTATACTAACATTATTCTAATTTGAATCTTATTTTTGTAAATGTTGGAGGAAAGCACATGGGAAGTAACTGCAGAAACTCAGACCAAAGAGAATGAGGTCCATGGTGATGCATCCTTCTGAAAAATCCACAAAAAGGGGATAAAATATTCTTATTCCATGGCAATTCTGGCCTGAGACAAAGTATCTATGCATCATCTTACTGTGTATATCTAGTAATAGTGTCTTCTCTCCTGACTTCAACTTTTTTTTTTTTTTTTTTTTTTTTTTTTAAACAGCCCCTCTACTATTCTTTTTGCAGAAATGTGTGGGTTTTGTAAGGGGAACAAGTCAGATGATTACTCAAAGCATAGATTTTTTTTCTTCCTGAGTATAAGTGATGGTCTTAAAAGGGCTCTTCTACTGCCTGCCAGAGGACTGAATAGACTCGTCATGAGGGGCTGCAGAGAAGGACAGGTAGGTGCAACCTTCACAGCTTTTTCCTCCACTGAGTACACCAAAATATAATGGTTTCTTGTAGCCAAGGTTTGGACCTTGAATTCAGAAGGAACATACTGCAGTCTTACAGTCCACAGGTTCCAGAAAGGAATTAGGTAAAAAGCCCATAGGATGACTAAACTAAATTGAGTTGATGTGCATGTATGTACTTTGGTGAATTGTGTGCATCCCATTTGTCATAACATTAGGTCTTTTTTGCACAGGTTTAGCTTTTTTAATGTATAGTTATCTCGGATTATTTTAATTTTTTATAGAAATTATTATACACTTCCATTTTCTTCACTTTAAAAATACGACCTTTTGGAAATATTTTGCTGATACATTAAAAATAAATAACTTTTCACAAAGTATTATTACATAAAACTTAAGTAAAATAGTACAAGTTGAGTTTGATAAAAATAAAGATAAAAACAACAGAAAGAAGTTCTTCAGTATTAAAAAACAAAGATAGCCTATGTGATTGTTTCTCAGTGTTTTGGAGAAGTCTCTCACCTCTGTCAGCTGAGCCATGGTGATGCATTCACAGATAACATGAAAACATGTTATCACTGAGTAATTTCTGACCTTATTCAAAGATATCTATTTCTTTACTTTAGTCATCAAAAAGCTTTGTGCACTGTTGTGCAACACCCTTGGTACCGACAGTACTTTGTTGCTGGTGAGCTGAATCTCCAGCACAACAGTAGGTAGCTACTGATCAATAGCAACCGAAGGTGACACGTTTCCAGGAGACGCTGGCTGTGAGCTTCTGAACTCTCTGGATAAGACAGAGTTTGGCATGAGAGACACCCAGAATCTTAAACAGCCTTTTTTTATCCCCTGTTTCTGTAGTTATTACTGATCTATGCTGCTCTGAAAGCACTCTTTTTCCACCAAGCACTCTTTTTCCACCAAGCAGTGCTTGCTTTATGAATGTCAAAATGGCACTTTAAAAGGTGAATATGATCCAAGCAGCAATCACATTCTCCTCCACAGTTCCCAGCTCTTGTTGCCAAAACTATTGTTTCTATCATTACCTTTATTAGCAGTCTAACTTAATTAGCTAAATGACATTATTTAGTGGCAAGTTCTCCAGTACCTCTCTGCTAACCATTGCATATTTAATGTGGATTTTATTTATGTAGATAGGCTGGCAGGTGGGCAAAAAAGAGATGGACATAGGACAGAAAAGGAAGTCCAACAGAGGGGCCTTTCCTACGCAAAATGTTTAACCAATGAGGATGCAAAATGAAAGAATGTGGACTGTTTCCTATGGTGAATTTCATTATATTTTTTTTTATTCTTGAGGCACAAGAGTTAGTCGCTGTCAAGAAAAACATGCTAAGGTGGCAGATAGGAAACAGGTGATGTACTGTGTGTCACCTGATGTCCGGGTGCTCTTGTCCAGGCATAGAGGGAACATCTGCCAGCTACTGCTTTCCTTTCCCTTACTTACCTCATAGAAGAGCAACTTCCAGCCATTGTCCAGACAGTTGGAGGAGCGGCTTCTATCTTGTGCTCCCACTGTAAATCTTTTTCATAGGGGAAATAAGAAGAACAGGACTCGAGGAAGTTAACTTTCTCCTAAGGATAGCATAGCATGCACAGTACCACTTAGTACAAGACTGCCCAAGATATGACAGTGAATGACCACTACAGGATTTTATTATATTTAGTGCCAGTGCTGTTGCAATGGCATCCAATGCTTGATAGCTATCAAAGGGCCGTTTATATACTTTGCTACACTACTTTGATGGATACTGTGCCTTGGCTTTCATTTCCCTGCACTGCTTTTTAATATAACTTGCAATCCTGTGAGATCGACTCAGATCACTGCTTTATGTAAAAGCATCTTCAAGTTACTTCACTGTGGATTTAACTGTTGCTTCCTTATGCAGAGGGTAACTTTCCTATATTTTTTTATCTGGATGTGCCTCAAAACCCAGAGTAATGACCCTTATATAGTTTCCTCAGAAAGAAACCACTTGCTGCCAAAAGATACAGGAAATTTTTCAAAATCCTGTTAAGCATAAACTGTGTGCAGATCATTCTTGGCGTATTTGTAGGGGCATGACCAGATATATATGTCCCGCCACAGAACTGGCTGTTTATCTGCTAAGTTATATAGTATAATATATTCTGATTGAAAGCAGATTCACATCTGTCGAGGAAATGGAAGAGAAACATGAATTTCAGAAAAGTAGGAGGAAATAGACCTGGGTATGGACCACCAGGAATTGTCGCATAGGTCACAGCCCACTTTCTCATGGCTGTGTTATGTGCAGAAAAGAAGGGGTCAGAAGGCACAACTCAGATGAATTGTTTTAGACATCTGTGATTTGTGGCCTGGTCATCCTGTGAAAGGACTTGCTGTTTCATTGAATCAAATTTTCTGCAGGCATAAGAATCCAATTCACAATATCCAGTAGAGGCCTTTCACATGCCGAACACCTAGCCAATGTGCTAAAACAATCAACTGAAGGACCAGCAGCATCTAAAAATATAATGCAAGACAGGGACTGAGCAGAAAAGACTAAGGATGCTTCTAAAGTCCCTTTGGTCGGACTCTGCTGGACTCAGATGAGATTGATTTAATAGGAAACTCTTAACAGTCAGATCTCACATGTTCTAATGCTTTATCTTTATGTTTTGTCATCATACCTCATAAATAGTTGAAGAATTCTTCAGTTTTGCAGCTGTTATTGTAATTAGCAAGTTAAATGTCTTCTGCTTTTAAAACCATGAATCACAGTTAACTGCTTAATGTTACTGTTGTAAACATGTGCTTTATTGACATCTTAAACCCTTTCATTGTGAGACTGCCTTTTCTTTCCTTGCATATACCTCTGTTAATAGCAGTCCTGTGTCCCTACCCAAATAAGGTGGCTCGTCAATCAGCTCTCAACCTAGCTGAGACACTTAGTGATCAGTGGTTTTGTAAGTCATTCCTCTCATACGTTTGTTTATGTGTTAAGTGCCTAATTTAGGCACCTTCTTTTCTAAAACCGTGGCTGTAGTTCACCCTGAAACATCACAGTGTGTTTTGCTGTGTTCAGAGGAGTAAAAAACCAAAATCTGTGGCAGAGAATTTATCTTGGAGATTCTTTTCCACTACCAGTGCTGAACATTTATGTAGATTATCTATTTAAAAGAAGAGGAATTCTGCTGCATTTCACCTATGGGTGACTGCATTTCATTAGCATCTGAACTCGTTCCTTAGTTTATAAAGGAGTTTGGATTCTTTGATATGAACAAAACAAAGATAACAGTTGTTGTTGTTACCAAATCAAATACATTCCTAGTGAAACTATGCTGGATTTATCACATTTCAAGAGGGTGAATTTAATCTAATACTTTGAAAACCATTATTAACTAGATAAGGACTGGAAAGAAAATGTTTTAATATTTACAAATACTGTGTATTGATCAATAACAAGGAGGAAGCATATTCTACATAGCTATGACATTTCACTTTACCTCTCCGTCTGGATGTGCAGCCATCAGAAATTGATACCTTGAATCTGTATCTCTATGTACCTAACTGTAATTATAGTAATGTGTTGAAATTCAGATGCTGTGCTGGATATAAATGCAGCACAATTTCCTTCCTTCCCAGGTCGTCAGGGAGATTGATAGGGATCCAGAGAAGAATTTAAGTACTGCAATACCTAACTTCTGAGAGCTTTGCAGACAAACTGTATTTTCTCCTTTTTCAATGCAAGGGGGAAGTGAGGTGTCACAGAAACTTGCAAACTGAACAGGGATTCACATGAAATAGTCAAACTCTTTCAAAATACTGAGGATAGAGAAGGGTAGGACCTCAACCCCTTCCTCAAGAAGACATAATTATTTCTCTGACACAAAAATTCTCTTATATAAGAGCCTGAGACAGCTCTTTTACACACTGCTACCCAAAACCTGACAAATAAAAACTGAACAACAAGAAAGCCTACAGAAAACTTCCAGCCACACTCAATATAGTAATAGAGTAGTCATCTCAAAGGAGGCTGAGGTTAGAGGTGAGGATTCAGTTCTCAGAGTCTCTGTCCTGGGAGACTACTAAGATACTGGATAAAAACATTTTGTGTGATGCTGTTCAAACATTTAAGAGAGTTGACCATACTGGAAGTCCCTGGTGAGACCAGCCATTTAACAGCGTTACCAGGGCATAGGCACAAAGCAGTGTGGTAGCATTAGGACCTCTGTTATGAACATCACTGAACAGGGAATAACGGGTCATCAGGTGCCTATAGAGGTAGGTGGCAGTCCAGCAAGGCTTCGGAGCAACCTACTAAAGCCACAGTGCTGGTGCTTGTTGTGCAAGTCCTTTTGTAGATGTAGCCTAGTATGGCTGTGACACACAGTACTTCTAGCACAAAAATATGTTTATGGCAGATCACTAGCATAGAGTCTAAATTTGTTGTGACTTCTTCAGCCCTGCAGGATACTTTTTTTCTTCAAGTTTCCAGATTCCACAAGCCTCCAGTGTAAGCTTTTGTCCTGTCATTAACGTTACACATCAGGGTATGGACAACCTCAGATTAAGATTTCTTATTTACTAAAAGGATGGAAAGGTGCTTGTCATAACTCTAAGTAGCAGACTGTGATCCAAGTATCATTGACAAAAACAATTTCTTACTCTCTTCCTATTTTATCTGCATTTAAGCAGACTGAAGGAGAAATTTGAGGATTGGACTCTCATAAGTCCATGTAGCTTGTTGAAAGATCATGAAGAATTATGTAGCAATATTTAGGAAATGACTAATACCTTCTGGAACAGATCTTTCCCTTTTGGTAAAAGCCATTTCTGTTTTCCTATTGGATTCCATGAGCTGTCAGAAACATGAATTAAAAATATAGAAATATTTTAGAATAAAAGGCATATTCTTAGTAAGGCTTATGCTGCTCTCAGATCCATCTGTCTCCTCTAAGAGATTTAGTTTCTTTCTTCACCTGAAAAATATCAGAATGAACAACAACCCAAAATGGTAACAAGAAAGAAATACATAACAAAATATGAGTAAGAAAGAGTTGCAATGCCTCTGCAGAGACAAGTATTTCAATTCCTTTCTGAAGTGTTTTTGGATCCCTGTATAATTCTACAATTTGTGAAATAAAGAATTATCATTGCTGTAAGTCGCAACATAATTTCTAAATGTCTGAAGAAAAAAACAATATGGAAATTTCAATAAGGAATAAAACTGCTTAAATGTTCAATCTGGACAAGTTGTCCCAGCTCATACCTCTATTGATCAAGCTCTATATGAAGGAAATATCAGTACTGAAGGTGTCAAAGAATCTGCATTTATGCAGATATTGTATTTATCACTACATGAATATTCAGTTATTTAAATAGCAAAGAACTATAGGAAACAATGTACCAAATTCGTGTATCATAAAACGGTACTGTTGAACTCAGTGAAACTTCCAGGTGTAAATAGTGTCAGAATTTCATCCTATATCTTTGTCTTTGGATGTCACCAGAAGGGAAATTGATTTCTTTTTTAATTCTTGGGGGACCCTTCCAGCCGTTAGACAGAACTACTAGACAGATTAAAAAGAAGCTGCAAATGGAATTTTTCTGTAGCTTTGGTGTTACTGGAAATGGGACACAACTGCCAAAACTATTTCTTGTGTTGTAGAACAAATTCTCTCCTGATGCAAAATGACACAACTCCATTGACTCCAATGACGTTACACGTAATTTATGCCAGAAGAATATGTAGCTCTTTATCCATTTATCTATAAACTGGTTGCTGTGACTTAATTTCAAATGAATTATGTTACTGTTCTTGGTCTGTGCCCTTGCAGCACTTTATTACTTAGAAGGTTAGTTCAGCAGAAATAAATAAATATGTGATTTGCAGTCTCAGCAAACATCCTAGCCAGGAACAATGGCCTCTCTGCAGTGTTCCAGACTAATTGCCCCCAATTTTCTCTTCTAACCTTCATACCCAATTCATTCCCTTCTTGCACTATTCTCCTTACCCTCTTTCCACCCGATCCTCATGTTCAGATTTTTTTTCCAGTGTCAGCAAGTCTTTAACCACCAGCTCTTAAGTATTCAAATTCCTTTAGAGAATAACTTCCTCTACAGTGATCTTAAGAAATGTGTATTACATTTAAGAAAGTACATTATTTAAGAAAATAATATGTCTTAAATCCCTCCTTCTTAAGCTCTTACCCTGAATTTTTGTGCTTGATATACCCTAGCATTTATGGTAACAAATACTGTCATTATAATTGTGTCCTGTGCTTACAACTACATCATCATCAAATGTTTTTCAAATTTCAGTCAGAACCTGCCATTAAATATTATAAGCAGTTTAACTGACATTCATACAAGTAGGAAGATTTTAAAGTTTATTTCAAGGTCTGATTGGTGGCAACTTTGTGTTCAAAAACTGAATGCAGTAGCAATAAGTTAATAATAATAAGCATTAATAAAACCATGCTTGAGGTCATTGCTTAGGTACTAAGGACCTTTTGATGATTAGAGAATGTGTCTGAAAATTGTTCTGGGCACCTACTTAACAGCCTGTGACTTTAGAAGGCATTAATCCAGAACATTGGCTTCCTTTTCTCATTAAGTGTTCTCCATTATAGGAGGTTGGTTGTGAGGCCTGTTGGAATCAGTGGTGCACAGGAAGGATGAAATTAAAGAAACTGGTCTGAGTGAAATAAGTAGTTCCCAGCTACCGACTTTGGGGGACACCTGCTGAATTCAACGGAATGGGTTTCCACAGTCCAGCTGCATTTCTGCTGAGTAGTTCAGCCAGGTGTGGAGCCTGAGTCTATGACCTTTGTGTGCTTATGCAGTATGAAAGACCATGGATCATTCTGTTGAATACAGTATGTAAGTAAAAAGTAAAAGAAACATTCAAGAAAGCCATGAGGTCTGTAAAATACAAATGTTATGTTGTTGTTGAATTCTTTTTTTAAGTAAGTCTGGTGTTAAAAAAAGCACATTTTACATATAAGTGCATGTTTTCAGCTAAGACTGGACTTGCCTCTATCTATGCTATGTTGCAAGTTAAATGCTAAGCTATCTAACATTGATATGTTTTCCAAATCAATGCTTTATCCTTCTTTCCCTTCATGTTTCTCCATCTTACTCTGTTCAGCTCCTGCACCAGCCTAGACGGGGGGAATTCTATTCTCAGTTCCCACCTTTTGGATCATATCTCTGTCTTCCTTATTGCACCATTAAAATAACTATACTGTATCTGACTTGTGGCTAATCTGACCTGGTGTTCTCCTTCTAGTGTCCCCTGTGGACACTTAAAAAGAACCATTATGAAACAAGATTATCACTACGGAAGATTTTACACCTAGTCTCATTTAGTTAGCATTGATATAGCATTTGATAAGCTCCAGAATAAAAAAATAGAACCTTGCATCATCTCTTTCGTACTGTACATAGTTGCAGTGTCCCCGTGATTCTCCCAAACACAGAATAATAATACAATGCTGTCTTTCCTTTAGTCTATATATTCAAGATTTTGATAACATCTTTTCCTTCTGTCCTTTTTCAATGCATCAAGCCATGTACTCTGGGCAAATTTTGCAAACATAGTTATGTTCACCAGGGTTTAAAACAAATTCTTAACTAACTTGACTTTGCTGGGAAAAAAAAAATGTGTAGATGTTGTTCCTATCTAATTTTAAAAATTTAGTTTAAAAAAGATTTAAGGAAGTTTCCAGGAACTTCTGAGAGTATTAACTTTCCATCAGAGAAATTGTAAAATCAGACTAAAAAAATTTTTTTTCAGTGTAGGTTGTTGATACTGCATTTATAACATGATTCTAAAGGCAGTCAAATATACTTTAAAACCAAATGTTATTGAAGTTTTTTAGATGTTGAGGGATTCATGATACTAGTCTTGTACTTCATTTGAAGTTACTTTGCACAGCCTTTTTGGTTTTACTCCAGTGCTCTCCCACTCCCTAGTGCTCATGCATGTGTCCCTTTTTTCCTGCCCCACACCCCATGTCTGGCCAAAGCAAGTCCTGTCTCTTTCCAGTAAAATATCAGATAGTCATTTGCATTGTGAAAATAAGAGTGAACAGAGTGAGTGAGGAAAGAGAGCACCTGGAGTGCAATAGCCTGGGTAGAAAACAAAGTCTCAGTATACCCAGAACCATCTGAAAGCCTGACCCTAACCAATTTTTTGAAAACGTTCCTACTGACTTCAGGACAGCTATTCTATATGTTTGCTCTACAGAAAGTCATGCATATTTATGAAAATAATAACTTAGAGAATCATAGAATGGTTTGGGTTGGAAGGGACCTTTAAAGGTTATCTAGTCCAACCCCCCTTGCAATGAGAAGGGACACTTTCAACTAGATCAGGTTTCTCAGAGCTCTATCCAACCTGACCTTACACAATATCTAGCTGAAGAATTTAAGGAATCTTCTTTCTTTTTCATCTGTACGTTATTCTTTATTAAAGATTAAAAAAAAAAAATTATTGTATGGGGAGGTTTGTTTTTTTTTTATGGTTAAAAAAAAAGTTTGAGAATGCTTTTTTTGTTTGCACTTTGTATGAAGTTGTGATGTTTATATTTTCAGCTAGTATTAAAAAAAAAAAAAAAAAACCCAACCACAAAAACCTGATAAAAAGCTATAAATCATTTCATGTCCAATTTGGCAAGTTAGAGCAATGGAAATTCATGATGGGAAAAATAATTTCCCTACTTTACAAGTAATTTTGATATTTTTTGGAACAATTTCAATCACAAGTTTTAAATATACATTTAATTCATATAGGATAGTACTTTTAATTTAATTGAGCAAGAAATTGTTATTCCTCTTATATGCCAGTCAGTTTCTTCCAAACTTACCACTTCTCTCCACCCAGCCCTAACTAGCTTTCAAAAATTCATTCACTGTAGGTCAGGTTCTGCACTTGACTTTAAGCCTGTGCCCCTTTATTGAAATTCTACCACACATAGGGAGGGTGTTGACTCTAATCTTTTCTATGGGTACTACACTAGTAGTTAATTTATTACTCTGAAAGTGTGGGTAAATTTAGCCTAACAATTTATTTAAAGTCTGAACTCCTAAAAAGATTCTTAGCATTAATTATGAAATATGTAGCTGCTTTAGAACAGAGAGATACTTTATTTCTGTGTTTGATCAGAAAGTCCTTTTTGTTTACAGTTTTCCTGAGTTTTCTTGAGTGGCCAATTATACTGAATATATATTCAGCCTAGTATATGTTAAGAAATTCACTCTATTCTGTGCTCTTGCCCTGTTTTGAACAGAGTTCAATTTGGCCTGTTATATTCTTACGAGCTTTCTGTACAAAGCAGCCTAACTTTTTTCCTCCTGGGGTAAAATTAATCTGCCCTAATTTAGGCATTAAAAAAAAAAAAAAATCTCTCTATCTCACCCTATTCTTTCTTTATAGTCAATGAAGAGAAATGGACACCTCAAGGGAATGATTCATCTCATCCTAAAATCGGTATTTAGGATAGGTCAGACGGATTGCCCTTTGGAGGTGCCAGTTTCTTTCCAGTGACTACCAAGGGAACTTAGGGTGACTGGCTCAGTCTTATATCTGTAACTTTAAGATGTCTGAAGTTAAGTGACATAAGCTGTTCTTCTTTATCATAACATTTTCCAAGGATATGAATAATTAAATCCCTTCAGAAAATATTACTACAAAGACAATAGTGTTTTGACTGAGACCCAAAATGTTAAAGACAATTCAGTGTACCTATATTTGGAATATTGTATGCTGCTCTGGCAGAGTCTTGGGAGATTGGATGAAGAACACAGAGTGTGCACTGGTGCTCACAGTAGCATTACTAGTACTTATGGACACATGTAACCAGAACTTTATACAGAAAAAAAAAGATTTAAAATGTATTAGTGAAAATAATCTCATATAGCTTTGGAAATCTACAGTGGAGACATCTACATGAGATGTAGCCTTTGTAGGCTCCTTTTCTAATCAATGTACTGAGATAAGACCTTTCAAGGTGCAATACTTCTGACCTATTTTAGACGCTTACTTTCAAATGAGGTGAGCGATGGTCCAAAAGTTTCTGTTTTTCTCCAGTGATTTTAAAGCAAGACTAGTGAGTGTGATTAACTCAGGTGCAGCTACCAAATGTATTTCTCTGCTATTCATAGATGGATCAGGAGGAGAAAATAAACCCCAATGGTTCCAAGTGGCCAAAAAGTTGTGCTGTAAATGTAAAGTCTCAAAACAGTTTGGTGACCCTTAGCTCTTCAGTGTTGCATAATGCTAATGGTTGCTGTGATATCATTTAACAGCTGTGACATCGTACAAGTATTTATGGCTCAAATGTGACACTGATTGATGATAAAGTCAATTTCAGCTGTGTAGAGACAATTATTCCACAAATTTACCTATTTTATATATATATATATATATATATATATATATATTTAAAAAAAGAGCTTAGAACTAATTTACAATGATGGCAGAAAATTAACAATGAGATGCTGAGAACATTTTGATAACATCTCAAGATTTTGAATGTAGCCACACATTGTCAAGAATACTTTTATTTATAAACTGATTTTTACATTTTTTACAGTCTTCTCGGCCATTCTACAGACTGGAAATGCTTTCTCTATGAAAGATTTTTTTTCAGTGCTATATGCTTCTCCATATTCTGTCTGTGTTGTTATATTTCTTCCTAATTTGAGAAACATATTGCTTTTATTGTTCTAAAATCCTTCATCAGCATGAAGTGGATGAGAACATTGGCTCAGTATTAGTTTTTGTTGTCTACATGGACTTCATGTAGATATATAAATATATTCATGAAAAAAGTTTTCTTTTTTTATCTCTTGCAAAGAAATTGCTTTGTAAGCCTTCAAGTAATTTTAGTGTCCTTTTCAGCTATCTTTGCTTTTAATACTGTATACCTTTCCCACAACCAATTGCCCAGTGTCTTCAGGTCATCTTATAGTCTTCTTCACAATGCTTTTTTTCTGACACTTTTTTAGTCATCAATGATTTTAATCTTGTCTATATTTATATGTGTGCTAAGAAAACTCTGCCAAAGCAGAAAAACATTGTGAGAAAAAGAAATAATATATAAAGCATATTTTATTTCTCCCTTTTACACTGGGCCTTACATATCTTTTTTGTATTTGAATATTAATTTATGTATATGACATTATTTTTGTTTCTCTAAGATGTGGATTGCCAAGCAGCCTTGACTTTTTTTACTCTACAAATCACTATATACAGGCTCTAGTCACACAATAAATAACAATAAAGTGACACTAAGAGAGAATATGGTCTGGGATCACTTGTGAGGTCCAATGTCATTCACTAAATGAAAGCAAGAAAGAGTCTGTTAGAGAGGCTGACATATGACAGCCCAACCTTTCTCTGCTTTACTAATTTTTAGGAAAAAAAAAGTGCCAAGAGACAAGAAAAGATTTTCAATGATCAAAAACAATGTGGAGAGGATTATATCAATCACTGAGTGATTTCCATTTTTACTTTCTCCTTATTATCGCTCTACTGGTGCTTTACAGAGACGTTACAAAAAATTATATGACCAGTGACCTGTGGATAATACTTCTAATAATAAAATAATTTCTTTTTTTTTGCTAGGAAGAGCATTAGGCCACTGGGTAGAATGAGACTGAAAGATGGGAGAACCAATTTATTCATTTGGACTTTTTTTTGGTGTGGCCAGAGATTATGAAACTACTGATGTGGTGCAAACCAGGAAGAGTGAGTAACAAAAAAACCTCCACCATACGTGGAAACATATCCCAAAAGCACACAATTAATCACTTATTTACTCTAGTTTGATGCCTTAATTTTGAGTTGTAAAGTTTCACATGTGCTTACACATGCACAAGAGAAGTGGACCCTGGGGTGTGAGGGGACCAGCACTCACCTCTGCTCCATCATGACCTGGGCTGGTGGCATATGGGCACTGTGGGCAAACCCAGCCCCACAGCCATGCTCACAACATTCCTCAAGCACACCCAAGGTATGGGCCTTCTCTGGAGAGTAGCAGCTGTGGACACTTCCACTGAAATGCAGGGCCAGCAGAAAGGTGTCCTTTCAGCAGTACTCAGCCAGGTAGTTCCCAGTTCAAACAACTTGACGTTTAGAGAGGAAATGAGAAACCTAGTGCCATTTTTTTTTTCTCTGCTTAGTACTTAAACGCCTTCCTCCTAAGAGACTTCTCCAATTTTCGGGTGAGGGAAGAGCCACCACAGTAGCTTGCTTTGTCATGGATCTTTCCTGCTGTTGCACCTGCACCAATGTACAAAAAGGTGTGAGATTCCTGGGACCAGATGGAGACAATTTAGGAAACTGGGTTTTGCAGATGAGTGGGTGGACACATGGCTGATAAAAAGAGACTTACATTCAAATCCCTGAACTGTTTATGCATTTTCACACTGCATGGTAACTGGATTAGAAAATCAGAAGCGGTCTGACAACAATCAGAACCCAATTTCCTCCACATCCAAGCAGTGAACACTCAAAACATGTCTGCTGAGTCATCTTTCTCTCCTGTTGTCCACTTGGCACAACAAGTCTTGCATTCCATTTCATATAGTCATCTAGCTACATGTGAAAACCAAATGTTGCACTCACCTAGATTAAAATGCGGATGTGAATTTTCTCAGGGTGAGTTGCAAACTCAACATAGGTCCCTCAGTGTTTGGGGGAATGCACTTTGCCACTAGGGTAGAATATACAGTCAGAGAGCACCACTGACACCTACTCTAACAACTATAAGCCTGCTCAGTTAAGCCTCTAAACTTTCAGGAATGGGCCTAGCCTCTGAGCCTAGATGGATAGAGGCTTCTTGTCTCTGGGAAGGGAGGTCTGCATCCAGAAATATGTATGGAGTGTTTTCTATTAAGTAGCTTTACACACCTCCTTAACAAATGCAAAATGGCTTTGCAGATTGTCTTTCTCAGGCTGTACCTAGTCATGGCAAAACAGTCTGTGAAGATGCTTAAGTCAGGATCTGTGAGCCGCTCTGTTAGGGCCGGGTGTCTGAATCTGGGATGTGGAGAGATCAGTAGGGTCAGGTCATCCTGTGTATAGGCACTAACCAGCACTGCACTGGTAAGTGCTTTAGATTCCTCTAAGCAACTATAATCTTCTTCCTTCTCTCTTTGCATCACAGAGAACTAAAGGGAATCAAGTAAATTCCCCTGAAGGGGGTAAACACTCAAATCATACTGTAATTCATGCTAATAATATTTTTTTCATATAGATATTTGTAGAGCTATGGACATAAGTCCAGTGATTTTTGAATCTCCCAATTCTGATTGCACTACAGTGCTAGTACTCAGTTTAATCTGGCCTGCACCATCCAAAAATGAGCTAA